TCATAGTAGGAGTAACAATGGTGGGCTTGTGAAGAGGGATAAGATTGCATTTTTTGACAAGGAGTGTTCAAAAGTTGCTGATCATGTGTACCTTGGTGGTGATGCTGTTGCTAGGGATAGGGACATTTTGAAGCATAATGGTATCACTCATGTGTTGAATTGTGTGGGGTTTGTGTGTCCTGAGTACTTTAAGGCTGATTTTGTGTATAGGACTTTGTGGCTGCAGGATAGTCCCTCCGAGGACATTACTAGTATCTTGTATGATGTGTTTGACTACTTTGAGGATGTTAGGGAACAAGGTGGGAGGGTGTTTGTGCACTGTTGTCAAGGGGTGTCTCGGTCTACATCTCTGGTGATTGCTTACCTTATGTGGAGGGAGGGACAAAGTTTTGATGATGCTTTTCAGTTTGTGAAGGCTGCAAGAGGGATTGCTGATCCGAATATGGGGTTCGCTTGCCAGTTGTTGCAGTGTCAGAAAAGGGTCCACGCGTTCCCTCTTAGTCCTAGCTCTTTGCTGAGGATTTACAGGATTGCTCCACACTCCCCGTATGATCCTTTACATCTTGTTCCCAAAATGTTGATGGATCCTTCGTCAGCTGCATTGGACTCCAGAGGCGCGTTTATTGTGCACATTCCTTCGGCAATATATGTTTGGATTGGTAAGAACTGTGAGGCCATCATGGAGAGGGACGCCAGAGGGGCTGTTGGCCAGATTGTTCGGTATGAGAAGGTGCAAGGGCCAATTGTGATGATTAAGGAAGGCGAGGAACCGGCTTACTTCTGGGATGCTTTTTCGAATTTTCTGCCTTTGATGGACAAATCTGGCAATAGAGTAGAAGATGGAAACTTAACTAGTAAAGTTTCTCCTGGTGAGAGGAGAGTGGAAGCATATGATGTTGATTATGAAGTTTTCAAAAAAGCAATCACAGGAGGATTTGTGCCTCCCTTTGCGTCATCTGAGAATGAACATGAAACCCATCTGCCTGCAAGAGAGAGTAGTTGGAGTGCTTTAAGGCGTAAAGTTGCCTCTGCTAATATGAAGGAGTTTGTTTCCACCCCTAGGTTATCCTTTCCCAGGGTTTATTCAGATTCCATGTTGTGTATTCATACATCAGCAAACTTGTCTCCATCCTCATCCCTTTCATCATCGTCATCGTCTATATCATCATCCTCTTCACCGTCTTATGTTTCTCCAGATTCCTTTTCTTCTGATTCTAGCACTCATTCTAAGTTTTTGTCTGAAGTATCCCCAGATTCTTCCTCTGTGGTTTTTACCCCTATCCCCGTATCTTCTTCTTTGTCTAGTTTTTCTAATTTGTCAATCTCTTCAAATTCTACTTCTAAAGCAGTTTCTAACAGTACAGATATCCTTGGTGTCAAGTTATCACATCCCTGGTCTCAGTCAGCCTCTTTACCATTGAAGAAACCATCAACTTCCCTTGCTGAACGCAGAGGTAGTCTGTCAAAATCTTTGAAGTTGCCACTGAAGAATGATAAGAAACAAGTAATGGATGAGCCACCTACCTTTCATAACAGTCAAGAATATGACATTGTTGTTAATGGCAATGTTAGCTATTTGCAACAATCAGACAGTAAAGATTATTTTTGTGAGTCTAACAAGCATGCCAAGGAGGGAGTGCTGAATTCATTTCAAAAGTGTGAGCTAGCACTATCTCCAAGCATTGTTGACCGCACGCACCTCAAGGAATCATCACTTGTTCGGAACTCTGTTGAGCCTTTGATAGATAGTTCCTCAGTAGAAGACGCAGTGCTTGGTCAGTCTGCAGCATTGAAGGGAGCCAATGAGAGTGGCTTGGCGCAGTTTAATGTCGCACAGACTTCGGTATATCACTGGCCCAGTTTAGAAAAGGTTGAGACATTTGGTACAGATCATTTGGATTCTAAAGCTGCTTTTGTCATATTCTCTCCCAGTATGCACTTACACGCAGGGAACATGCTATATATTTGGGTAGGGAAGTCTTTCAATTGTGACGCTTCACAGGTTCACTTGGATGTTGATATACAGTTAGATTGTTTAGGAGCTGTTGACTGGAATCAAATTGGATGTGATCTCCTTGATCGGTTTAGTTTGCCGAAGAGTACAGCCATCAAGGTATGTATTCCACTGACATTTTGTTCAAATTGTGCAATACAAACATTCTTTTATTTAGTTTTTTCTTTCTTTTGTTTCTATTCTAGACTAAAACATAGTAGCCACAGATTGTGTTGCTTATTTGGTCTCTTTAGTCTCATTATTATTTTTTGGTTGGAAACATTCTTAATGATATGCTGAAAACAAGATGTACATCATCTATATTTTTAGCTCTTTAGCAAGAAGAATAATCAATTTAGAAGAAAGAAAATGCTGTTTTAATTGCAGCGTTGCTGGGTGGAGCTGATGGTTGGATTTTCTTCTTCCTTTGGAACTCAGATAAATGGGAGTTTAAGTGAACTCCAGATCATTGAATGTGACAAGCTCATTATATGATTTTTTGTGGGGCCAGCTGTTGTGATGTGCTTATTATTTACAAACCTTATATAAGTGGTTTCTTCCTTTTTTATTGGAAAACTTACTCTTGCTAGGATCAGCAGATACAATGGTATCCTATTTCGTTTCTTGCGATAGTGATTTTCCTTGAAATCCATCTCCTCCAATTACCTGTTTCCCTTAGTGTTATATGTTTTATCCTTTATTTCCCACCCTTCTCCTGTTTGCATCAATAGCATTTTATCCCTCAGTTTTTTCGTGAAGCATTTGACTTTGAACTTCAAACCATTACTTTTTTGTTTCCCATGATGCCAAATTTATGGTCAATAAATCACCCCAATCTTGCGTTGATAGTATTTGTTGATTTGTGATATATCTTCTATATATATATATATATATATATATTTTATTTTATTTTTTCCTTTTTCATGAAAGAATGAATTGAGCTTTATGCACTATGGTGGATTGTCCCAATATTTTGCATTCTCATGATGTTCTGTTCTGTGAATAGATTGTTAAAGAGAATGAGGAACCTTCAGAGTTCCTTGCTTTACTCAGGTCATTGTAGCTCAAATGAGACTAGGAGAATCCTTGGTTCAAGTAGCTTCTATAACATTTTCAGCATCTGCAGCTATCTCTATGTATGGCAAGTTTTCAGGCTCTAATTGATCTTCCCTGTGAAAAGAGATCCAGTGAGGTAATCCATATTCTTTTCTTTGTTTCTTTTTCCTAATTCTGATCTTATAGCAATAATACATAATCTGTGATATAAACTGAGTTTTGGTAGATGTTACTTGCAGGAGGTTGCCCCCATGCCAAGTGAATTGTAGCTCGGCTGATTGTACAGTGCTTTTTAACACCCTCAACCTAGAAATTTATGTTAAACATACTCAAATTTCTTTCAATTTCTCTCATGTTATTTATACAAGAACAATTCCTTCTTAGCAGCTCTCTTTCTCTCAATGCGGAAAATGTTAGGCTGTAGTTTATTTGCTTATATGTGAACAAATACGCCATTAAGAATTTCTAAATTCAAACCATAGCTGAGTGATATAGATGTTCTCAATAAAATATATTTACCAACATTCTTGTATGATTCATCACTATGGTGAAAATGTTATGCTTGTCACTTTCAATGATCAAACATGTTTAACAAACTGAATTCAATGAATGTTTGTGCTATGTATGTTCTTTGAATATGAATGAAATGTGAATTCAATGACCATTTTAATTAGAAAACCATCGTATTAAAACAAAAATAATGAATGTGGAATGTAATGAACATATTTTATCATAATGTAAGCAAGTTAGCATTAAAATTTGTTTTCTTTCCTAACCCACATTTTCACATAAATGTTATTAAAGAAATGTTTTGAACTTTTAAATCAAACAAGTTTATGTTCGATTTTATTCCTTGCCGAAAAAAATCTCTCTTGTTTTAAAGATCTTTGAAATTTTTGTTGGTCTCTTTTACTGCTTACTTTAATTAGTTGAATGTGTAAAATAAAAAAAATGTTAATTCAAATAATAAATATATTTTCAGTGAATGAAATTAGTTTTCTAAATATGTAATTTAATTAAGCAACATAATTTATTTGTTTTATATAAACAGGGTAATTATATTCTATTTAAACTATTTAGAGATATAGAAATACCAAGCAATTTTGCAATGAATAAAACTATATAATAACGAATATAGACAATGCTCCCTATACGTCTTTCAATGTTATTTTTTCTGTATGTCATTCAGATGAAAGAACCAAATTAAAAATAAAATAAAATTTAATTAAACATTAAAAAAAACAGTTGAACAACTCAAGTAATTGTTTTTTCAATTAGACAATCACATGAATTAATTCGATATTTATTGTACGACATTACCTTTTGACAAATATATCTTATAATCGCCAATTCTTTTTACTAATTTTTATCTTTTATAAAAAAAATAGACTAAATTAAACATAAATATGACATTTAATATAATTTAAGTTCCTTTACAGCGTAAATATGTTATATATTATCACTAAATCATATACTGATTTGCATTATACAAATATTTATGCTAACAAATCATGACATATGAATTAATGATATTTTGAAGTAAAAAAGATATAATAAAATTATGGTAACCGCATTATTTTTTATTTCACAATAGTTTTTTATGTAATTATTTACCTGTTCTATTTCTAATAATATTTTAAAATTAAAATATAAAATTTTCAAAGGCACCAATTAAAAAATAAATTAAATTATAGTAAAAAAAACGAAAATGCAACTTGAAACTCCCTGTAAATTAAAAAAAAGATAATTACTCATATTTTAGATATAATTATTTTTTTATTGAAACTTAACTAAATAAATTATACCGTGCCAATTTATGTTTTGTTTCTCTTACCGACCCATCTTGAAAACCCTATGCACAAGTTATATGGGCTTAGGATATTGGGCCCATCTTGAAAACCTTATGCACAAGTTATATGGGCTTCGGATATTGGGCTTGAAAAAGGTGGTTCCTCTAAGTTTGAGTTCTATATAAACCATCCCTATTCTTCCTTTAACTTCAGCTGTTCAACCCTAAACCCTAATTTTGGTTTCTGCTTCTGCAACCCTCTGATTTTCAAGGTTTTGAATCTATTATTTAATTAGATTCAAGTGTTTCTACTAAGTCTTCCCTCTCCGGATCTTGTGTTTTGAGTATTTTTTTTTTATTTTTATGAATGTGTTTAGGGTTTATATGTTTCAATCTGCTAATGCAATTTAGTGTAATTATGTGTGTTTGCAGGAGGTTGTGAGAATTGTTGGTGAGTGATTGATATGGCTCCTACTAAGGGTGAGTCTTGTATTGTTATCTTATTGTCCATTTCTTCAATACTGGTTTTGTGGTAATGATCTAATTAACTTTTTTTTTTCCTTGAGCAGTGGTCAATGCTAAAAAGGCTGATCCCAAAACTCAGGCCTTGAAGACGGCTAAGGCCGTCAAGTCTGGTGGCCAAGTGTTTAAGAAAACCAAAAAGATCAGGACATCAGTTACATTTCACCGGCCAAAGACATTGAAAAAGGACAGGAACCCTAAGTATCCTCGCATTAGTGCTCCGCCCAGAAACAAGTTGGACCATTATCAGATACTTAAATTTCCTTTAACTACCGAATCTGCAATGAAGAAAATCGAGGATAACAATACACTGGTTTTTATTGTTGATCTCCGTGCTGACAAAAAGAAGATTAAAGATGCTGTGAAGAAGATGTACGACATTCAGGCCAAGAAAGTAAACACATTAATCAGGTAATTGGAATACAAATTGACAATGTCTCTGATCTGCTACATGCAAATTTGAGTTATTAAAAACAACCTTATGTAGTGAAAGTGGACCAGTTGCTTAGTCTACAGTGATTAGCGTAGGTAGAATTTTGTATTTAGCAGTGTGTTTTCTTTTTTATTCTTTAACAAATACCTTTTCGCTTGCAGGCCAGACGGAACTAAGAAGGCCTATGTTAGGTTGACTGCAGATTATGATGCCTTGGATGTAGCCAACAAGATTGGTATAATCTAAGTTGTAATACTTTTTTTTTAAGATAGTTCTTCTATATGTCCCTATTTTAGGACTTTTTGTTCTCCATATGTATTAACGGCTGTTAATTCAATTTTGAGTTGAGTACATTTATATGAATTAGGGTTTATGCTGGTATAATTATTCTCTGATTGATTGCCTTCTTTCTTGGTTTATCATTATTACCATTGTAATATGTTATTATATATTTCATACGAAAGCAATTGTCCCCTTGAAATTCTATATCTTTGTGGTCCACATCTGGATTAATTTATATTAATTTATTCTGCTGATTTTCTGCGTTAAGTTTTGTACAATGTTAGAGTTTGTTTATCTTTTCTTACAGGATTAAAGTTAAATATTTGGTACCTTTTGGCACAGAATTTGAATCACCACTTGTGAAACCTTTTCATGAAATTTCTTGAACTCGTCAAAATATTGTTTAACAAAAATATCCTCTATATACCAAATTTTGTAATTCTAGACGGGCAAGTTTTCACTCATGACTCTTCATTTTCATTAATTTAAACTCCAAACAATTCTATAAATTTTCCCATGAATCATTATTTTCATCTACCACCACTTTCTAACAATCATTGTATGGAAGTTTAAGTTTAGCTTGAAAAGCAGAGCTGGGGGGATTTCTGACTCCAATGTTTCCAAGGTCTGATCACTCTCCTTTTCTTTATTCCATACCACAGATATTAATTTCTGTCCGGATACTAGCATGTTGATTATTACCTGTTATCTATTGTCATGTAAGTTGGTGGTTGGTAATTGTAAATTTTGTTGATGAATCTATCATGGTTTTACTCATGTAGTCGAATATAGAAATATAGGCTAATCTAATGGTTAGGCACTGCAGACTTGTTCCTGGATTATAATTTGGAAGCAGCCCTTGGGCATATTCTAGGTCAGTCTCTTATATTGAGGAGACTTCTTTATTTTGAATGCAGACATAGTCAGGTGTCTGCCATTATTTGGTAGAGACTGTTACTTGTCTGCGACATAGAGTACCGAGGGTGTGTCCAACAAATATGGGTTTTCTATGTTGTTGGATAACACCTCTATGGAAGGTGTCCATCGTTGCCCAGTAATACACTTGTTATTATTTGAGCTACATCTGGATTCTACATCACATTTTCTGCCTCACTTTTCTTCCTTTTACACAATCATTTCATACATAATTTGTTGGATTCACCGTTTTTTTATGTAGTTAAGCAAATTTAATTATTGAATTTCCACTAATGGTGCCTGAATACCGGTGTTATTTTTTTTCCTTTGTTAGCAACTATATTGGGTTCTCTTTAATTATTGACTATGTCTGGTATTCAACTATATAGACTGCCGTTTTTTAGAATTTGGTAGAGACTGTTCATGTCTGGGACATAATATAACGAGAGTGAGTCCAACAAATATGGGTTTTCTATGTTGTTAGATAACATCTCTTTGTAAGGTGTCCATCGTTGCCCAGGAATATACTTTATTATTATTTGAGCTACATCTGGATTACACATCACAATTTCTGCCTCTCACTCTCTGTTATTTTCAACAAAATCGTTCTTATGTTATTTGTGTTGTTAAATTTCGTTGTTGTATGCATATTTACAGACAAGTTTACTTATTTGAAGTTCCACTAATGGTGCCTGAATACCGTGTTAGTTTTTTTTCCTTTGTTGCTAAACAATTAACAGAGGAATATAGTTTGTGACATCTTTAACTTTGAATACCAGACATAGTCAGGTGTCTGCCGTTTTTTGGAATTTGGTAGAGACTGTTACATGTCTGGCACATAATATAATGAGAGTGAGTCCAACAAATATGAGTTTTCTATTTTGTTGGATAACATCTCTTTGAAAGGTGTCCATCGTTGCCCAGTAATATACTTTATTATTATTTGAGCTACATCTGGATTCCACATCACAATTTCTGCCTCTAACTCTCTCTGTTATCTTCAACAAAATCTTTCTTATATTATTTGCGTTGTTAAATTTCATTGTTGTATGCATTTTCACAGACAAGTTTAGTTATTTGAAGTTCCACTAACAATGCCTGAATACCCGTGTTAGTTTTTGTTTCCTTTGTTGCTAAACAGTTAACAGAGGGATATAGTTTGTGACATCTTTAACTTTGAATACCAGACATAGTCAGGTGTCTGCCGTTTTTTGGAATTTGGTAGAGACTGTTACATGTCTGGCACATAATATAATGAGAGTGAGTCCAACAAATATGAGTTTTCTATTTTGTTGGATAACATCTCTTTGAAAGGTGTCCATCGTTGCCCAGTAATATACTTTATTATTATTTGAGCTACATCTGGATTCCACATCACAATTTCTGCCTCTAACTCTCTCTGTTATCTTCAACAAAATCTTTCTTATATTATTTGCGTTGTTAAATTTCATTGTTGTATGCATTTTCACAGACAAGTTTAGTTATTTGAAGTTCCACTAACAATGCCTGAATACCCGTGTTAGTTTTTGTTTCCTTTGTTGCTAAACAGTTAACAGAGGGATATAGTTTGTGACATCTTTAACTTTGAATACCAGACATAGTCAGGTGTCTGCCGTTTTTTGGAATTTGGTAGAGACTGTTACATGTCTGGCACATAATATAATGAGAGTGAGTCCAACAAATATGAGTTTTCTATTTTGTTGGATACCATCTCTTTGAAAGGTGTCCATCGTTGCCCAGTAATATACTTTATTATTATTTGAGCTACATCTGGATTCCACATCACAATTTCTGCCTCTAACTCTCTCTGTTAACTTCAACAAAATCTTTCTTATATTATTTTCGTTGTTAAATTTTCATTGTTGTATGCATTTTCACAGACAAGTTTAGTTATTTGAAGTTTCACTAACGATGCCTGAATACCCGTGTTAGTTTTTTTTTCCTTTGTTGCTAAACAGTTAACAAAGGAATATAGTTTGTGACATCTTTAACTTTGAATATCAGACATAGTCAGGTGTCTTCCGTTTTTTGGAGTTTGGTAGAGACTGTTGTATGTCTGGCACATAATATACAGAAGGTTTATCGAACATATGAGTTTTCTATTTTGTTGGATAACATCTCTTTGGAAGGTATTCATCGTTGCCCAGTAATATACTTTGTTATTATTTGAGCTACATCTGGATTCTACATCACAATTTCTGCCCCTCACTAATTTTTGTTTCTTTCAACAAAAACGTTATTCCTGCTGTTAGAATCTATATTTGTCTTCATATTTAAACAAGTTTAATTATTGCAAGCTTCTGTTATGGCTTTTGAATACCATTTTTAGTTTATTTATTTATTGCTAAATAATTATTAGATGAAAACAATTTATTCCATTTTTGTACTTAGAATACCAGACCTAGTCAGGTGTCTGCCTTTTTTGGAAATTTGGTAGAGACTGTTACATGTCTGGCACATAATATACTGAGGGTGAATCCAACAAATATGGGTTTTCTATCTTGTTGGATAACATCTCATTCGAAGGTGTCCATCGTTGCCCAGTAACATACTTTGTTATTATTTGAGCTACATCTGGATTCCACATCACAATTTGAGTCTCACTGACCTTTGTTCCCTTGAACAAAATCATATTTTACATATTCCTGCTGTTTATGTATTCGTATTCAAACAAGTTTAATTATTGCAAGTTCCTATTATTGTGCTTGAATAAACTTGTTTGTTTGGCTAAACAAATATTAGAAGAAAACAATGAGATTTTTTTGCCTATTTGGAAATTCGGTACAGAATGTTACTTGTCTGACATAAAACCTAGAGTGAGTGTCCATGTTGTATTCTAACATCTCTTAGAAAGGTGTCCTTCCATCTTTGCACTATATCTTGTTATGTTAAATATTTGAGCTTCATTTGGATTTCAACATGGCAAAAGCTGAGCCTCGGTTTCCCTTCCCTTTAAACCTTGGAAGTAACGAAAGGAAAGCCGTCTGTAGCTATTTTCTTTCATTGTTCTCAACATTTTTGTGGTTTTTTTATAATTTATCAGTTAAACATTTCTTGAAATATCAATGTAATTCTTGATGTTTTCATCATGCATCTGTTACCTAATAGGATTTTATGATTGTGTATGGATTTTATGTATAAGGGTGTGTGGATTGTTGCCCATGAATATAGGAATACAAATTGGTCTCGGTGTTGAGTTTTCATGAATTTAAAAAGAAACGGTTAAATTTCAAAATGTTTTAACTACAATCAAACCATCATAGTACCATTTTGAGTACATTTGAAGTGGTTTCTAATTCATAAATTTAAAAAACCATGGCTTGAGAATTTCACAAATTTTGATATAAAGTATCAGCTATCTTAGCTAGTTTGAAAATAAAAAAAACTGGTTTAAAAATTATTTGTGCGCAAACATTAATTCTTGGATTTGTTCTTTGTAATTATATGTTATAAATAATTCAAAATATGAAAAACAAAAATTGTATTATTATCAAACATAATAGAAATATGAAAATTTTTTAAAAAAATGTTACAGTGTGATAATATCAGGCCCTTTTTACACGTGGGTTTAATAATAAGCCTAGATGAAAACATAAAAAGGGTATTAAAAGGTAAGGGCTTTGGGAGTCAATTTGTCAAAGAAAATTTATAGCCTCCCAAAAGTATTCAAATTCTGACATGAAGAAAAACCAAAGTCACATAAATAAAACAAAACAAAAATTAATATCTAATAAACAAAAACCGTGTTTGTCGTTTTTTGGACTTGGCATGAGAACGTTGTTACAAAAGGTTTGGTTCTGTATACATTAACGTGTTCCTTTGTGAACCAAACTTTCTGGTCCCATCCCATGTATGTTTCATCGTCAATGGTTTAGGATGAGATGGTTCCATCCAACACTTAAAACACATGGTCCCATCTTTCACACTAACTAGGACTACACACAAACACTTTTTCCCTTTGAGAAGAAAAAATAGCTACAGCCTTCGTAGCAAAGAGAGAAAAAGATGGCTCTTCCAAGACCAAGCAGTGAAGAGAAAGCCCTTTCTCAGCTCAAAGAAGGAACAGCATCATCAGCAGCAGCAGCACCACCTTCATCATCTTCTTCATGGAATAGGCTTCACACTTTCTCTCCTTTGAATCTACACAACAAGACTAGCAAAATTGGTAGGTTTAACATTCTTCTTTCTTTCTCATACAAAACATATTTTCTTTTTCTCATTTACACTTGTTTCTACAAAACTACTGTAAGAGAGAAAAAAAATTATTTATAAAATTAAACTTTGTTGGTGTATAAATTGAGGTATGTGTAAACTAGTGTTTGATTACCGCAGGAGGTTATTGATATCATTATTGGAAAGCAAATAATTAAAAAATTTCTGTTTTTTGTATGATACTTTTTGTAGGTATTTGTTTCTGAGATGAATCTCAAGTTATACACAATGAAAATTAAAATTCTTGAAGGAATGTATATAAATTTTAAGGTTAAATATTTTTTTCTTCTAAATTATTTTAAAATATTATAGTTTTGGTCTTTGAATTAAATAATACTTTTTTTTATACTTTATGAAAGATGTATAAAACATTCTTTTTAACAAATAATGTAAAGTGTTTTCGTATGACAGGAAATTTCGGAATAAATTTTTATATGACTTTATAAAATTTAGAGATGAAATAGTTTTTAAATTAGTTTTAAAATAAAAGATAATTTTATAATAATTTGAGATAAAGAAAAACATTTAATCTTAAATTTTATTTCGTTTTTTCTTATATTTACTTTGTTTTTCTTACAAAAGATTAATATAAAGAAAGAATGTTTGAATGATTAGAATTTTGCGTGATAAAGGAAAGAAATTTTGAAATTTTGATGCACATAAATAGAACATGGTGACCTAATTTTTGGAGTATTGACTGATCCAGAAGACAGTGATGAAGATATGTTCACAGTTCCAGATGTCGAGACCACACCCANCACATCACAATTTCTGCCTCTAACTCTCTCTGTTATCTTCAACAAAATCTTTCTTATATTATTTGCGTTGTTAAATTTCATTGTTGTATGCATTTTCACAGACAAGTTTAGTTATTTGAAGTTCCACTAACAATGCCTGAATACCCGTGTTAGTTTTTGTTTCCTTTGTTGCTAAACAGTTAACAGAGGGATATAGTTTGTGACATCTTTAACTTTGAATACCAGACATAGTCAGGTGTCTGCCGTTTTTTGGAATTTGGTAGAGACTGTTACATGTCTGGCACATAATATAATGAGAGTGAGTCCAACAAATATGAGTTTTCTATTTTGTTGGATACCATCTCTTTGAAAGGTGTCCATCGTTGCCCAGTAATATACTTTATTATTATTTGAGCTACATCTGGATTCCACATCACAATTTCTGCCTCTAACTCTCTCTGTTAACTTCAACAAAATCTTTCTTATATTATTTTCGTTGTTAAATTTTCATTGTTGTATGCATTTTCACAGACAAGTTTAGTTATTTGAAGTTTCACTAACGATGCCTGAATACCCGTGTTAGTTTTTTTTTCCTTTGTTGCTAAACAGTTAACAAAGGAATATAGTTTGTGACATCTTTAACTTTGAATATCAGACATAGTCAGGTGTCTTCCGTTTTTTGGAGTTTGGTAGAGACTGTTGTATGTCTGGCACATAATATACAGAAGGTTTATCGAACATATGAGTTTTCTATTTTGTTGGATAACATCTCTTTGGAAGGTATTCATCGTTGCCCAGTAATATACTTTGTTATTATTTGAGCTACATCTGGATTCTACATCACAATTTCTGCCCCTCACTAATTTTTGTTTCTTTCAACAAAAACGTTATTCCTGCTGTTAGAATCTATATTTGTCTTCATATTTAAACAAGTTTAATTATTGCAAGCTTCTGTTATGGCTTTTGAATACCATTTTTAGTTTATTTATTTATTGCTAAATAATTATTAGATGAAAACAATTTATTCCATTTTTGTACTTAGAATACCAGACCTAGTCAGGTGTCTGCCTTTTTTGGAAATTTGGTAGAGACTGTTACATGTCTGGCACATAATATACTGAGGGTGAATCCAACAAATATGGGTTTTCTATCTTGTTGGATAACATCTCATTCGAAGGTGTCCATCGTTGCCCAGTAACATACTTTGTTATTATTTGAGCTACATCTGGATTCCACATCACAATTTGAGTCTCACTGACCTTTGTTCCCTTGAACAAAATCATATTTTACATATTCCTGCTGTTTATGTATTCGTATTCAAACAAGTTTAATTATTGCAAGTTCCTATTATTGTGCTTGAATAAACTTGTTTGTTTGGCTAAACAAATATTAGAAGAAAACAATGAGATTTTTTTGCCTATTTGGAAATTCGGTACAGAATGTTACTTGTCTGACATAAAACCTAGAGTGAGTGTCCATGTTGTATTCTAACATCTCTTAGAAAGGTGTCCTTCCATCTTTGCACTATATCTTGTTATGTTAAATATTTGAGCTTCATTTGGATTTCAACATGGCAAAAGCTGAGCCTCGGTTTCCCTTCCCTTTAAACCTTGGAAGTAACGAAAGGAAAGCCGTCTGTAGCTATTTTCTTTCATTGTTCTCAACATTTTTGTGGTTTTTTTATAATTTATCAGTTAAACATTTCTTGAAATATCAATGTAATTCTTGATGTTTTCATCATGCATCTGTTACCTAATAGGATTTTATGATTGTGTATGGATTTTATGTATAAGGGTGTGTGGATTGTTGCCCATGAATATAGGAATACAAATTGGTCTCGGTGTTGAGTTTTCATGAATTTAAAAAGAAACGGTTAAATTTCAAAATGTTTTAACTACAATCAAACCATCATAGTACCATTTTGAGTACATTTGAAGTGGTTTCTAATTCATAAATTTAAAAAACCATGGCTTGAGAATTTCACAAATTTTGATATAAAGTATCAGCTATCTTAGCTAGTTTGAAAATAAAAAAAACTGGTTTAAAAATTATTTGTGCGCAAACATTAATTCTTGGATTTGTTCTTTGTAATTATATGTTATAAATAATTCAAAATATGAAAAACAAAAATTGTATTATTATCAAACATAATAGAAATATGAAAATTTTTTAAAAAAATGTTACAGTGTGATAATATCAGGCCCTTTTTACACGTGGGTTTAATAATAAGCCTAGATGAAAACATAAAAAGGGTATTAAAAGGTAAGGGCTTTGGGAGTCAATTTGTCAAAGAAAATTTATAGCCTCCCAAAAGTATTCAAATTCTGACATGAAGAAAAACCAAAGTCACATAAATAAAACAAAACAAAAATTAATATCTAATAAACAAAAACCGTGTTTGTCGTTTTTTGGACTTGGCATGAGAACGTTGTTACAAAAGGTTTGGTTCTGTATACATTAACGTGTTCCTTTGTGAACCAAACTTTCTGGTCCCATCCCATGTATGTTTCATCGTCAATGGTTTAGGATGAGATGGTTCCATCCAACACTTAAAACACATGGTCCCATCTTTCACACTAACTAGGACTACACACAAACACTTTTTCCCTTTGAGAAGAAAAAATAGCTACAGCCTTCGTAGCAAAGAGAGAAAAAGATGGCTCTTCCAAGACCAAGCAGTGAAGAGAAAGCCCTTTCTCAGCTCAAAGAAGGAACAGCATCATCAGCAGCAGCAGCACCACCTTCATCATCTTCTTCATGGAATAGGCTTCACACTTTCTCTCCTTTGAATCTACACAACAAGACTAGCAAAATTGGTAGGTTTAACATTCTTCTTTCTTTCTCATACAAAACATATTTTCTTTTTCTCATTTACACTTGTTTCTACAAAACTACTGTAAGAGAGAAAAAAAATTATTTATAAAATTAAACTTTGTTGGTGTATAAATTGAGGTATGTGTAAACTAGTGTTTGATTACCGCAGGAGGTTATTGATATCATTATTGGAAAGCAAATAATTAAAAAATTTCTGTTTTTTGTATGATACTTTTTGTAGGTATTTGTTTCTGAGATGAATCTCAAGTTATACACAATGAAAATTAAAATTCTTGAAGGAATGTATATAAATTTTAAGGTTAAATATTTTTTTCTTCTAAATTATTTTAAAATATTATAGTTTTGGTCTTTGAATTAAATAATACTTTTTTTTATACTTTATGAAAGATGTATAAAACATTCTTTTTAACAAATAATGTAAAGTGTTTTCGTATGACAGGAAATTTCGGAATAAATTTTTATATGACTTTATAAAATTTAGAGATGAAATAGTTTTTAAATTAGTTTTAAAATAAAAGATAATTTTATAATAATTTGAGATAAAGAAAAACATTTAATCTTAAATTTTATTTCGTTTTTTCTTATATTTACTTTGTTTTTCTTACAAAAGATTAATATAAAGAAAGAATGTTTGAATGATTAGAATTTTGCGTGATAAAGGAAAGAAATTTTGAAATTTTGATGCACATAAATAGAACATGGTGACCTAATTTTTGGAGTATTGACTGATCCAGAAGACAGTGATGAAGATATGTTCACAGTTCCAGATGTCGAGACCACACCCATTAATGTTCATTCTCATCCAAACAGTATCCTTAAACAATCTAACGTGACAGAACCTCAGTTTCAAACTGGTTTCCCTGGAAAGCGTCGCAGGGGAAGAAACCCTGCAGATAAGGAACATAGACGTCTCAAGAGGTATACATACACATATTACAGTAGATTATTAGAATAAAGAAAAAAATATATTATAACACACGTAAATTTTTTATATCCATTTAATACTTTTTATTTTTTACTTTTTTTTAGAAAATAAATACAAAAATTTATTTATTTATTTATGATTATTTTACTTTTATATTATATATCAAATGACATAAATTATTTCTATTTAACATTCAACTTTAATACTTATATAACCAAATTATGATATATAAACAATATAAATTAATTAAAAATCTTATTTTATATATCAGTTTGGTAAAATTTAATCATATATAAATTTACTTACTATCATAATATCATGACGTCCATTATTATATCTTTATTATTAATTTATTTACACAAATATAAAGTCACTCATGCTCACAAATTTTACTTTATACTCATAGTGGTTATAACTCAATTTAGAAACACTTTTAATTTGAAAAATAATAATTTTCTATAATATTATATATGATTAAAAATAAAATTTTAAGTAGTTAATTGCAAATGTCTTATGCATATTTTTTTTCCCTTTACATAGAAGTTGATTTTCTTTTTCTAAAGGGTGTTTAGGAATGCCCTTATTCAAATGTATAACAGAAAGAAGAATATAAAATGTTTTCTAATGACTTTAAAAGGTTTAATCTTCTTCTACTAATTAGTATTGAAATTGTGGGAATCGATTATGATGGGTTTTCTTGTAATGGGTGATAAATGGAAGAAACTATTTTTATTATAGTTGAAGAATAAGCCATTCAAAAGATTGTATGTTACCTATAGAAAAAAGAAAATACAAGGAACAAAAATTATTGTGTAAATATAATAAGATAGTAGTCGTTTAATGCTATTAATTAACACCGTTTTTAAAAAATCAAAGTAAAAAAATATTAAAACAACACCTTTTAGATTTTCGTATGGTTTAGAATTTGTTTTGGTACAAATTAGTAGAGTTTTTGAAGTTTTTCTATTAAAATATAGCCTTCGGTTAAATAACTTTTTATTCCTAACAGAAATTATGTATTTGGTATATGATGCTTTAATGATTTTTTTTTTAAATTTTTGGTGATTAATAAATTTTTTATTTTTATTTTAACTTTTACTATTGAGTGACATTAGTATGTGACAACTTGTTCATTAAGTAATATATTAATTACTTAGTATGATACACTTTTTTTTGTGTGTGTGTGTTATTTTTGTTTTCAATTTTCAATATTTTTTGTCTTATTTTGATCTTAAAAAGTTATACTTTTGCTATGGTCTTTCTTACATGTTAAGTGATGATGGATTGTGTATTAAGTAATTGTGACTGAGAAGAATTAATTCATGTATTTTCTTAATTATTTTTAAAAGAAAAAAAAAGTAATCAATTTGAACGAAACTTTGTTTTTTTCCCATAATATTAAATATTTATAATATTTTATTTTTTATTTTTTTAAATTTACTTAATAACTAAATATATTTACAGAAAAGACATTTCTAAAACTAAATTTTTTGTAAAAAAGATAATTTAAATAAAAAAATGCAGATTTTTTTTCTAAAAGCTAATTTAAACAAAAAATATTAAATATAAATTCATCACAATCTATATTACCTTTGATATTATATGTTTTCAAATAGGTTGTTGAGAAATAGGGTTTCTGCTCAACAAGCTCGAGAAAGAAAGAAGGTTTATGTGAATGATTTGGAAGCAAGAGCCAAAGAGTTGCAAGATAAAAATGCTATCTTAGATGAACGTATCTCTACTTTGATAAATGAGAACACCATGCTTAGAAAGGTAACATTTTTTGAAGTATTAGTTTTACTCTTTTCCATTTGTTTCTAAATATAAATGTTAGTAATTTAAGTAAGACTAAGTCCCACATTGAATACAAATGAGAAAGTAGAATATTATATAAAGGTGAAAGACCCATTGATACATTGTCTTAAGATTTTGGGTAAAAAATGATGTCAATCTTTTATATGTTTGGACTCAGATCTCACTGGTATATGTATCTCTCTAGTAAACTTCTTCCTCAATAGACCTAAGAATAAAACATTTCATTTCAAATTCTTTTATAAGTTTTATGTGAATCCTAAGTATTGCATTTTAATTTTCATATACTAGTGTTTGTCAATTAATGATATAGATTGAAGTGTGTGTATTAATCATGATTCACAGGTTCTTATGAATGCGAGGCCAAAAGTTGATGATAGTAATGAACAAAAGCAAGAGCACTTAAGTAAGAGCTAACAAGGTTAAACCTTCAAACAAATTATTTATAATTTATTCTATAATGTAAATTTACAAATTTATGACTATTTTCTTTCTTTTATACTTTTATCTAAGACCTTCTCCACCTCCACATCAAGGTTTTTTGTTCGGCATTCTTTGATGTAGTGAAGTTGGAAAAAGTTCAAAATTAATGCTTATTGTATAGTAGTTTCAATGTATCTTAAGAAAATATTTAGTCAGTGCAGATTGAATTTAAAATTTATTAGATTTTATGATACTCTAATGAGATATATTGTCATAGTTATGATGACGATTTTTTTTCATCACTGATAATTTTTAACGTGAGATTTTTATTTATTAAGAGGTACGTTCCTTTTGATATAGGTTAAGAACACATATACAATATGTTTATTACAATTTTCCATTTTTTTCTCTATGTGTACTGATACAAATTCACTCATGGTTATTTGATTATTTGTTTATTAAAATTAAAATATATAGGCAATCAAAGTTGCGGAATAGGAGTTTCAATTGAAAAAAAAATCACTTTATGATTTTCTTTCATTTCTTCTTAAACACATATACTCAAACTAAATAAAGAAAGTCTAAAAATCAGGACTATGAATTTCGTTCTAATTATATAATATTTTATATAAAATTATAATTTTATACTTGAAATTAATGACAAACCTGTTTTTCGGAGTCGAATGAATCATATTAAGATGGTTTCATAAACTTCCTTAACCTTTTCTACCTTAAGTGAGTCTCCTTCCACTTTTTTTTTGGTGTTTGTCCTTCATGAATGGTGATGTGTCTACAAAAGATACTCTATCGTTCAAGTTATTATGGTGCATCAGATAGTAGTTAATGTTGTAAATATGAACATAATTATTTATCTCATGTATTATTTATAAGATACTTATGGGTTTATGGGCTCTCACCTATATATGGGCTTGGGTGGGCAATGACCCATTTACTTCATGAGTCAGTTGTCTAATTCATAATGTGCTAAATTAAAAAATAATATGTTTTTAGGGTATGTGAGGCCAGGTTAGGACCACGTAGAAACAGGTCGACTTGTGGTTGGGAAGCATTAGGTCGTGTACAATACATAAGCCCCCCATTTTGCTCATGACATTTATATATAAACATTGGTTTATTAAGAATATGCAAGAAAATCANGACTAGCAAAATTGGTAGGTTTAACATTCTTCTTTCTTTCTCATACAAAACATATTTTCTTTTTCTCATTTACACTTGTTTCTACAAAACTACTGTAAGAGAGAAAAAAAATTATTTATAAAATTAAACTTTGTTGGTGTATAAATTGAGGTATGTGTAAACTAGTGTTTGATTACCGCAGGAGGTTATTGATATCATTATTGGAAAGCAAATAATTAAAAAATTTCTGTTTTTTGTATGATACTTTTTGTAGGTATTTGTTTCTGAGATGAATCTCAAGTTATACACAATGAAAATTAAAATTCTTGAAGGAATGTATATAAATTTTAAGGTTAAATATTTTTTTCTTCTAAATTATTTTAAAATATTATAGTTTTGGTCTTTGAATTAAATAATACTTTTTTTTATACTTTATGAAAGATGTATAAAACATTCTTTTTAACAAATAATGTAAAGTGTTTTCGTATGACAGGAAATTTCGGAATAAATTTTTATATGACTTTATAAAATTTAGAGATGAAATAGTTTTTAAATTAGTTTTAAAATAAAAGATAATTTTATAATAATTTGAGATAAAGAAAAACATTTAATCTTAAATTTTATTTCGTTTTTTCTTATATTTACTTTGTTTTTCTTACAAAAGATTAATATAAAGAAAGAATGTTTGAATGATTAGAATTTTGCGTGATAAAGGAAAGAAATTTTGAAATTTTGATGCACATAAATAGAACATGGTGACCTAATTTTTGGAGTATTGACTGATCCAGAAGACAGTGATGAAGATATGTTCACAGTTCCAGATGTCGAGACCACACCCATTAATGTTCATTCTCATCCAAACAGTATCCTTAAACAATCTAACGTGACAGAACCTCAGTTTCAAACTGGTTTCCCTGGAAAGCGTCGCAGGGGAAGAAACCCTGCAGATAAGGAACATAGACGTCTCAAGAGGTATACATACACATATTACAGTAGATTATTAGAATAAAGAAAAAAATATATTATAACACACGTAAATTTTTTATATCCATTTAATACTTTTTATTTTTTACTTTTTTTTAGAAAATAAATACAAAAATTTATTTATTTATTTATGATTATTTTACTTTTATATTATATATCAAATGACATAAATTATTTCTATTTAACATTCAACTTTAATACTTATATAACCAAATTATGATATATAAACAATATAAATTAATTAAAAATCTTATTTTATATATCAGTTTGGTAAAATTTAATCATATATAAATTTACTTACTATCATAATATCATGACGTCCATTATTATATCTTTATTATTAATTTATTTACACAAATATAAAGTCACTCATGCTCACAAATTTTACTTTATACTCATAGTGGTTATAACTCAATTTAGAAACACTTTTAATTTGAAAAATAATAATTTTCTATAATATTATATATGATTAAAAATAAAATTTTAAGTAGTTAATTGCAAATGTCTTATGCATATTTTTTTTCCCTTTACATAGAAGTTGATTTTCTTTTTCTAAAGGGTGTTTAGGAATGCCCTTATTCAAATGTATAACAGAAAGAAGAATATAAAATGTTTTCTAATGACTTTAAAAGGTTTAATCTTCTTCCACTAATTAGTATTGAAATTGTGGGAATCGATTATGATGGGTTTTCTTGTAAAGGGTGATAAATGGAAGAAACTATTTTTATTATAGTTGAAGAATAAGCCATTCAAAAGATTGTATGTTACCTATAGAAAAAAGAAAATACAAGGAACAAAAATTATTGTGTAAATATAATAAGATAGTAGTCGTTTAATGCTATTAATTAACACCGTTTTTAAAAAATCAAAGTAAAAAAATATTAAAACAACACCTTTTAGATTTTCGTATGGTTTAGAATTTGTTTTGGTACAAATTAGTAGAGTTTTTGAAGTTTTTCTATTAAAATATAGCCTTCGGTTAAATAACTTTTTATTCCTAACAGAAATTATGTATTTGGTATATGATGCTTTAATGATTTTTTTTTTAAATTTTTGGTGATTAATAAATTTTTTATTTTTATTTTAACTTTTACTATTGAGTGACATTAGTATGTGACAACTTGTTCATTAAGTAATATATTAATTACTTAGTATGATACACTTTTTTTTGTGTGTGTGTGTTATTTTTGTTTTCAATTTTCAATATTTTTTGTCTTATTTTGATCTTAAAAAGTTATACTTTTGCTATGGTCTTTCTTACATGTTAAGTGATGATGGATTGTGTATTAAGTAATTGTGACTGAGAAGAATTAATTCATGTATTTTCTTAATTATTTTTAAAAGAAAAAAAAAGTAATCAATTTGAACGAAACTTTGTTTTTTTCCCATAATATTAAATATTTATAATATTTTATTTTTTATTTTTTTAAATTTACTTAATAACTAAATATATTTACAGAAAAGACATTTCTAAAACTAAATTTTTTGTAAAAAAGATAATTTAAATAAAAAAATGCAGATTTTTTTTCTAAAAGCTAATTTAAACAAAAAATATTAAATATAAATTCATCACAATCTATATTACCTTTGATATTATATGTTTTCAAATAGGTTGTTGAGAAATAGGGTTTCTGCTCAACAAGCTCGAGAAAGAAAGAAGGTTTATGTGAATGATTTGGAAGCAAGAGCCAAAGAGTTGCAAGATAAAAATGCTATCTTAGAAGAACGTATCTCTACTTTGATAAATGAGAACACCATGCTTAGAAAGGTAACATTTTTTGAAGTATTAGTTTTACTCTTTTCCATTTGTTTCTAAATATAAATGTTAGCAATTTAAGTAAGACTAAGTCCCACATTGAATACGAATGAGAAAGTAGAATATTATATAAAGGTAAAAGACCCATTGATACATTGTCCTAAGATTTTGAGTAAAAAATGATGTCAATCTTTTATATGTTTGGACTCAGATCTCACTGGTATATGTATCTCTCTAGTAAACTTCTTCCTCGATAGACCTAAGAATAAAACATTTCATTACAAATTCTTTTATAAGTTTTATGTGAATCCTAAGTAGCATTTTAATTTTCATGTACTAGTGTTTGTCAATTAATGATATAGATTGAAGTGTGTGTATTAATCATGATTCACAGGTTCTTATGAATGCGAGGCCAAAAGTTGATGATAGTAATGAACAAAAGCAAGAGCACTTAAGTAAGAGCTAACAAGGTTAAACCTTCAAACAAATTATTTATAATTTATTCTATAATGTAAATTTACAAATTTATGACTATTTTCTTTCTTTTATACTTTTATCTAAGACCTTCTCCACCTCCACATCAAGGTTTTTTGTTCGGCATTCTTTGATGTAGTGAAGTTGGAAAAAGTTCAAAATTAATGCTTATTGTATAGTAGTTTCAATGTATCTTAAGAAAATATTTAGTCAGTGCAGATTGAATTTAAAATTTATTAGATTTTATGATACTCTAATGAGATATATTGTCATAGTTATGATGACGATTTTTTTTCATCACTGATAATTTTTAACGTGAGATTTTTATTTATTAAGAGGTACGTTCCTTTTGATATAGGTTAAGAACACATATACAATATGTTTATTACAATTTTCCATTTTTTTCTCTATGTGTACTGATACAAATTCACTCATGGTTATTTGATTATTTGTTTATTAAAATTAAAATATATAGGCAATCAAAGTTGCGGAATAGGAGTTTCAATTGAAAAAAAAATCACTTTATGATTTTCTTTCATTTCTTCTTAAACACATATACTCAAACTAAATAAAGAAAGTCTAAAAATCAGGACTATGAATTTCGTTCTAATTATATAATATTTTATATAAAATTATAATTTTATACTTGAAATTAATGACAAACCTGTTTTTCGGAGTCGAATGAATCATATTAAGATGGTTTCATAAACTTCCTTAACCTTTTCTACCTTAAGTGAGTCTCCTTCCACTTTTTTTTTGGTGTTTGTCCTTCATGAATGGTGATGTGTCTACAAAAGATACTCTAACGTTCAAGTTATTATGGTGCATCAGATAGTAGTTAATGTTGTAAATATGAACATAATTATTTATCTCATGTATTATTTATAAGATACTTATGGGTTTATGGGCTCTCACCTATATATGGGCTTGGGTGGGCAATGACCCATTTACTTCATGAGTCAGTTGTCTAATTCATAATGTGCTAAATTAAAAAATAATATGTTTTTAGGGTATGTGAGGCCAGGTTAGGACCACGTAGAAACAGGTCGACTTGTGGTTGGGAAGCATTAGGTCGTGTACAATACATAAGCCCCCCATTTTGCTCATGACATTTATATATAAACATTGGTTTATTAAGAATATGCAAGAAAATCATTTTGAATTGTTGATTCATTGCTAGAGATGACTTAGAATAAATAGTTCATCATCTAAAAGATTTTTCCCTTCTAATACTCTATCGAGTTATCAATATCTATCAAATTTACTCCAATCTAACTAACTGCTATTGGATCAAATGATAAAGACATTATTGAGAAAAAGATGGCTTTTCCCAAATGAGATAGTTGTTGCTAGTTGGTCCAATAACAAATCATTGATTTAACTAAATAATTTAAAAAAAGGTAAACCTTTCTTTCTCTTCGTCTCAGGTCGTTATATCTTGTCACTTGAAAGATCCCCTATATTGATAATACACATTCTAGTTGACCGAGCCTATTTAGAATTATTTTGTTTTAAATCAAAAAGATCCACCAGGCACTTAGTACTATTTAGATATTCACAACCAAAAGCATTGATTTTTTTTTTAAGTATTGATTTTTTTTTTGGATAAGCCCTGAAAGGAGAAGAAAGGCTGAAATGCCAATAGACGTCTATATTTTGAATTCACCCGACCCAAAAGTACATTATCCATTTTGAGAATGTCTAGTGTTAAAATCATTTAATGGATAAGTCGCTAATTCCTAAAACAAACTATTTAATATACTTTATCCACTTGTTGGGCTACAAGTGGATATTTTATCGGAGGTTTTTATTGTATCAATTTATCCTTATGTGATTATGTTGAAGCATATACTCCTTGGGAAAGATATGGTGCATGTCATCAGATATAAAAGATCATCAGGATTTCATGATTCGTCGTCGAACTTATTCCAATTCAATAAAAAATACTCAATGTTATTACTTGAGGAGGACTCAAACCTCCACATATTTTAGCATAAGATTTTGACTCTCGTGTGTCTACCATTTCACACCACCAAGGCTTTTTGAGAGTGTATCATATTCCACAAATACGATATCTATTTAGAGTCTTTTCATTGGTCAAGTCATATATTTTTCAGTTTTATCATTTTAATAACTATTTATTATAAAAAAATTATTTATTTTATTATTATGTTATTAACTACTTTTTAAAAATATTATCTACAATATTTTTTTAATAGCTAAAATTTATTTTTACTATAATTATATATATTTTTTACTTTTTCAATTTTGCTCTTTTAGATATTATTTTGTAAAATTTAAATAACTTATAACTTCTGTGCGTTTATGTTAGTTAATATAAACGGGTTTAAGACAAGGAAAAGGTAGAAACTTAGATAAGATAGCGGTAATGAAAAATTCAAGTTTACTTTTCAAATAATTTTGCATAAACCTTAATTATTCTACATTGAATGGATAAACAGAGTAGTTTGTTTTTATTCTAAGCTTTTTATTAAACATGAAAAAGTTAAAGTATCATCAAAGGGTTAAAAATAATAATATTTTAAGCAATGTACTTTTGGAATCGTAACTTTTAAATATTATGAAAACGTTCATTCATGTATTAGTATGCTGGAGATCCTTTCCTTTAGGGCTTGTTCTTTTCAGTGGATTTGAGGAGATTTGAGAGGATTTGAAGATAATTTTTTTTATCGTTTTTTTGAGTGAATTTGGAAGTAAATGAGAGTGAATTTGAAAATAATTTTTTTTTAATTTGTCACTTCAATACAATTCTATACTAATTCTCACAAATTTTATTTTCAAATTCACTCTCATTTACCTCCAAATTCGCTCAAAAAAACGACAAAAAAAAATATCTTCAAATCCTCTCAAATCCCCTCAAATCCATTCCCTCAAATCCACTCAAAAGAACAAGGCCTTACATTTGATCAAGCGGTCAACGTTTTAAAAAAAACGTAAATTCTCCTAAACTCAGAAAAATGCTGCCATAGAGTACTTGAATGTATCGTTGCTAGAAATTTGGCTGTATCCATTAGAATTACTGGTTTATTGTACATGTATTTGGAGAAAGCTATCATAAAAGCAAACATTGATTAAACTTGGGACTATAAAGCTCAAATAAACATTCTCGCTCAAGAGTTTAATATCTCTAATAATGTGGTAACAATTGTGATCATTTTTCAAACATCGAAAATTTTGAATGACTCTATGACAGTCTGCAGCCTCTCTTTCATCTTTTCCCATCTTCTCTCGTTTGCTCCCGTTGTCAAGGTGTAAAACTTACCTATAATTCACACTTAAAACATAAGTAAAAACATGGATGATGTTCTTAAATTCGAAACTAAGTTTTGTGGTATTTTTTACTAATCTAAAACTCAAATGTTTTGTTTTTTAACACTGAAAAAAACTCGTCTAGATACAAAATTGCATACATTTTCTAATTTTGAAGATTTAAAGGACACGGCAATTTTTACCCAAGATTTAATTCGGTTTCTAAGTTCAAAAGAAAAAAAAAGGGACAATTTACAAGCTTGTTAAAATAAGTTAAATATGTTTTTGATATCTTAATTTTAATTAGTTCCTTTTCAAAACTTTAGTCCAATTTAGTCCTTCAATTTTAAAAATGTGTAGGTTTAGTCTTTTTAACTAAATTTTGCTAGGTTTATTTGACATTTCAAATGCGTTTCATGATAACATTTGAATTGTTTTCAGTATTTGACACATTTCCGCTTTAATGTTAACTGAGAAACGTATTTGAGACATCAAATAAACTTAACAAAATTTGGTTAAAAAGACTAAATCTACACATTTACAAAGATAAGAGACTAAATTGGTTCAAAATTTTGAAAAGAGACTAATTCTAATTTTCACTTAAAGTTAAGAGATCAATAACATATTTAACCTAGTTAAAATTTTCAAAAGGGGTATTCAAAAGGGTCAAAGCATACCATTGCCAATGGAGACAGTGCTGAGAGCATGACGAGTATAGTTTGGAGCCTTAGCGATGAACTCAAACTGATAGTACTTTTTTCCTTCAACATCTTGCTGAAGCATTACACATATGAATAAAAGAACAAAATCAACAGATTAAATGCACAGAGTCTAATTAAACATAAAAAGATAATGATTACAAACAAGGAAAAGAGATGTAAGACATCAAACCTCTTTTGCTTCTATTATCTTGGTTTTCTGGTTTGAAGGGGCCAAAACCTTTTTTATCAGAGTTTCAGCGACCTCTTGAGGAGACCCAAATTCTGTAATATCCTGTTTGCCAGTTGGTATCATATTTACACTGACATTCTCCAGTGGTTCAATGACATCCTTGAACACCTTATCTTGACCTTCAATTACTACTTCCTGCTCACTCCCCATGGTAAAAAAGAGATGAAGTAGCTAACCTTAGCTTCCATTTTAGCTTTGTATCAATAAATAAACTTGATATAGATGTAAAGTCACACTGATGCAGAGTGCAGACAGTATTACAACAATGCTCACCTGCCACCCAAAAGGGTAGAGAAATGAATATCCATCTTTCTTGTCCAAAACAGACAAAAATCCTTTCTTGTTTTCTGCAGCAACTGAGCCATATCAAGAGCATATCCTCAGGGTGTCAGGCCTCAATATATAGGAAAGTCACAAGCGTCATAAACAGCATTTGTATCTTCCTGATCAGGCACAATTCNTATTTTTAAAAGAAAAAAAAAGTAATCAATTTGAACGAAACTTTGTTTTTTTCCCATAATATTAAATATTTATAATATTTTATTTTTTATTTTTTTAAATTTACTTAATAACTAAATATATTTACAGAAAAGACATTTCTAAAACTAAATTTTTTGTAAAAAAGATAATTTAAATAAAAAAATGCAGATTTTTTTTCTAAAAGCTAATTTAAACAAAAAATATTAAATATAAATTCATCACAATCTATATTACCTTTGATATTATATGTTTTCAAATAGGTTGTTGAGAAATAGGGTTTCTGCTCAACAAGCTCGAGAAAGAAAGAAGGTTTATGTGAATGATTTGGAAGCAAGAGCCAAAGAGTTGCAAGATAAAAATGCTATCTTAGAAGAACGTATCTCTACTTTGATAAATGAGAACACCATGCTTAGAAAGGTAACATTTTTTGAAGTATTAGTTTTACTCTTTTCCATTTGTTTCTAAATATAAATGTTAGCAATTTAAGTAAGACTAAGTCCCACATTGAATACGAATGAGAAAGTAGAATATTATATAAAGGTAAAAGACCCATTGATACATTGTCCTAAGATTTTGAGTAAAAAATGATGTCAATCTTTTATATGTTTGGACTCAGATCTCACTGGTATATGTATCTCTCTAGTAAACTTCTTCCTCGATAGACCTAAGAATAAAACATTTCATTACAAATTCTTTTATAAGTTTTATGTGAATCCTAAGTAGCATTTTAATTTTCATGTACTAGTGTTTGTCAATTAATGATATAGATTGAAGTGTGTGTATTAATCATGATTCACAGGTTCTTATGAATGCGAGGCCAAAAGTTGATGATAGTAATGAACAAAAGCAAGAGCACTTAAGTAAGAGCTAACAAGGTTAAACCTTCAAACAAATTATTTATAATTTATTCTATAATGTAAATTTACAAATTTATGACTATTTTCTTTCTTTTATACTTTTATCTAAGACCTTCTCCACCTCCACATCAAGGTTTTTTGTTCGGCATTCTTTGATGTAGTGAAGTTGGAAAAAGTTCAAAATTAATGCTTATTGTATAGTAGTTTCAATGTATCTTAAGAAAATATTTAGTCAGTGCAGATTGAATTTAAAATTTATTAGATTTTATGATACTCTAATGAGATATATTGTCATAGTTATGATGACGATTTTTTTTCATCACTGATAATTTTTAACGTGAGATTTTTATTTATTAAGAGGTACGTTCCTTTTGATATAGGTTAAGAACACATATACAATATGTTTATTACAATTTTCCATTTTTTTCTCTATGTGTACTGATACAAATTCACTCATGGTTATTTGATTATTTGTTTATTAAAATTAAAATATATAGGCAATCAAAGTTGCGGAATAGGAGTTTCAATTGAAAAAAAAATCACTTTATGATTTTCTTTCATTTCTTCTTAAACACATATACTCAAACTAAATAAAGAAAGTCTAAAAATCAGGACTATGAATTTCGTTCTAATTATATAATATTTTATATAAAATTATAATTTTATACTTGAAATTAATGACAAACCTGTTTTTCGGAGTCGAATGAATCATATTAAGATGGTTTCATAAACTTCCTTAACCTTTTCTACCTTAAGTGAGTCTCCTTCCACTTTTTTTTTGGTGTTTGTCCTTCATGAATGGTGATGTGTCTACAAAAGATACTCTAACGTTCAAGTTATTATGGTGCATCAGATAGTAGTTAATGTTGTAAATATGAACATAATTATTTATCTCATGTATTATTTATAAGATACTTATGGGTTTATGGGCTCTCACCTATATATGGGCTTGGGTGGGCAATGACCCATTTACTTCATGAGTCAGTTGTCTAATTCATAATGTGCTAAATTAAAAAATAATATGTTTTTAGGGTATGTGAGGCCAGGTTAGGACCACGTAGAAACAGGTCGACTTGTGGTTGGGAAGCATTAGGTCGTGTACAATACATAAGCCCCCCATTTTGCTCATGACATTTATATATAAACATTGGTTTATTAAGAATATGCAAGAAAATCATTTTGAATTGTTGATTCATTGCTAGAGATGACTTAGAATAAATAGTTCATCATCTAAAAGATTTTTCCCTTCTAATACTCTATCGAGTTATCAATATCTATCAAATTTACTCCAATCTAACTAACTGCTATTGGATCAAATGATAAAGACATTATTGAGAAAAAGATGGCTTTTCCCAAATGAGATAGTTGTTGCTAGTTGGTCCAATAACAAATCATTGATTTAACTAAATAATTTAAAAAAAGGTAAACCTTTCTTTCTCTTCGTCTCAGGTCGTTATATCTTGTCACTTGAAAGATCCCCTATATTGATAATACACATTCTAGTTGACCGAGCCTATTTAGAATTATTTTGTTTTAAATCAAAAAGATCCACCAGGCACTTAGTACTATTTAGATATTCACAACCAAAAGCATTGATTTTTTTTTTAAGTATTGATTTTTTTTTTGGATAAGCCCTGAAAGGAGAAGAAAGGCTGAAATGCCAATAGACGTCTATATTTTGAATTCACCCGACCCAAAAGTACATTATCCATTTTGAGAATGTCTAGTGTTAAAATCATTTAATGGATAAGTCGCTAATTCCTAAAACAAACTATTTAATATACTTTATCCACTTGTTGGGCTACAAGTGGATATTTTATCGGAGGTTTTTATTGTATCAATTTATCCTTATGTGATTATGTTGAAGCATATACTCCTTGGGAAAGATATGGTGCATGTCATCAGATATAAAAGATCATCAGGATTTCATGATTCGTCGTCGAACTTATTCCAATTCAATAAAAAATACTCAATGTTATTACTTGAGGAGGACTCAAACCTCCACATATTTTAGCATAAGATTTTGACTCTCGTGTGTCTACCATTTCACACCACCAAGGCTTTTTGAGAGTGTATCATATTCCACAAATACGATATCTATTTAGAGTCTTTTCATTGGTCAAGTCATATATTTTTCAGTTTTATCATTTTAATAACTATTTATTATAAAAAAATTATTTATTTTATTATTATGTTATTAACTACTTTTTAAAAATATTATCTACAATATTTTTTTAATAGCTAAAATTTATTTTTACTATAATTATATATATTTTTTACTTTTTCAATTTTGCTCTTTTAGATATTATTTTGTAAAATTTAAATAACTTATAACTTCTGTGCGTTTATGTTAGTTAATATAAACGGGTTTAAGACAAGGAAAAGGTAGAAACTTAGATAAGATAGCGGTAATGAAAAATTCAAGTTTACTTTTCAAATAATTTTGCATAAACCTTAATTATTCTACATTGAATGGATAAACAGAGTAGTTTGTTTTTATTCTAAGCTTTTTATTAAACATGAAAAAGTTAAAGTATCATCAAAGGGTTAAAAATAATAATATTTTAAGCAATGTACTTTTGGAATCGTAACTTTTAAATATTATGAAAACGTTCATTCATGTATTAGTATGCTGGAGATCCTTTCCTTTAGGGCTTGTTCTTTTCAGTGGATTTGAGGAGATTTGAGAGGATTTGAAGATAATTTTTTTTATCGTTTTTTTGAGTGAATTTGGAAGTAAATGAGAGTGAATTTGAAAATAATTTTTTTTTAATTTGTCACTTCAATACAATTCTATACTAATTCTCACAAATTTTATTTTCAAATTCACTCTCATTTACCTCCAAATTCGCTCAAAAAAACGACAAAAAAAAATATCTTCAAATCCTCTCAAATCCCCTCAAATCCATTCCCTCAAATCCACTCAAAAGAACAAGGCCTTACAATTGATCAAGCGGTCAACGTTTTAAAAAAAACGTAAATTCTCCTAAACTCAGAAAAATGCTGCCATAGAGTACTTGAATGTATCGTTGCTAGAAATTTGGCTGTATCCATTAGAATTACTGGTTTATTGTACATGTATTTGGAGAAAGCTATCATAAAAGCAAACATTGATTAAACTTGGGACTATAAAGCTCAAATAAACATTCTCGCTCAAGAGTTTAATATCTCTAATAATGTGGTAACAATGGTGATCATTTTTCAAACATCGAAAATTTTGAATGACTCTATGACAGTCTGCAGCCTCTCTTTCATCTTTTCCCATCTTCTCTCGTTTGCTCCCGTTGTCAAGGTGTAAAACTTACCTATAATTCACACTTAAAACATAAGTAAAAACATGGATGATGTTCTTAAATTCGAAACTAAGTTTTGTGGTATTTTTTACTAATCTAAAACTCAAATGTTTTGTTTTTTAACACTGAAAAAAACTCGTCTAGATACAAAATTGCATACATTTTCTAATTTTGAAGATTTAAAGGACACGGCAATTTTTACCCAAGATTTAATTCGGTTTCTAAGTTCAAAAGAAAAAAAAAGGGACAATTTACAAGCTTGTTAAAATAAGTTAAATATGTTTTTGATATCTTAATTTTAATTAGTTCCTTTTCAAAACTTTAGTCCAATTTAGTCCTTCAATTTTAAAAATGTGTAGGTTTAGTCTTTTTAACTAAATTTTGCTAGGTTTATTTGACATTTCAAATGCGTTTCATGATAACATTTGAATTGTTTTCAGTATTTGACACATTTCCGCTTTAATGTTAACTGAGAAACGTATTTGAGACATCAAATAAACTTAACAAAATTTGGTTAAAAAGACTAAATCTACACATTTACAAAGATAAGAGACTAAATTGGTTCAAAATTTTGAAAAGAGACTAATTCTAATTTTCACTTAAAGTTAAGAGATCAATAACATATTTAACCTAGTTAAAATTTTCAAAAGGGGTATTCAAAAGGGTCAAAGCATACCATTGCCAATGGAGACAGTGCTGAGAGCATGACGAGTATAGTTTGGAGCCTTAGCGATGAACTCAAACTGATAGTACTTTTTTCCTTCAACATCTTGCTGAAGCATTACACATATGAATAAAAGAACAAAATCAACAGATTAAATGCACAGAGTCTAATTAAACATAAAAAGATAATGATTACAAACAAGGAAAAGAGATGTAAGACATCAAACCTCTTTTGCTTCTATTATCTTGGTTTTCTGGTTTGAAGGGGCCAAAACCTTTTTTATCAGAGTTTCAGCGACCTCTTGAGGAGACCCAAATTCTGTAATATCCTGTTTGCCAGTTGGTATCACATTTACACTGACATTCTCCAGTGGTTCAATGACATCTTTGAACACCTTATCTTGACCTTCAATTACTACTTCCTGCTCACTCCCCATGGTAAAAAAGAGATGAAGTAGCTAACCTTAGCTTTGTATCAATAAATAAACTTGATATAGATGTAAAGTCACACTGATGCAGAGTGCAGACAGTATTACAACAATGCTCACCTGCCACCCAAAAGGGTAGAGAAATGAATATCCATCTTTCTTGTCCAAAACAGACAAAAATCCTTTCTTGTTTTCTGCAGCAACTGAGCCATATCAAGAGCATATCCTCAGGGTGTCAGGCCTCAATATATAGGAAAGTCACAAGCGTCATAAACAGCATTTGTATCTTCCTGATCAGGCACAATTCAGTAACATGGAAAACTTAACTGCTTAAAATGCAATCTTACAAGCGTTTGAGTGTTGGTTGATCAGAAAAAGTAATGGGGCAGTTGTTCCAATGGCAATCACTTGGCGCCTTCTTTGTCTATCTGCCAAGGTAAGACAATGGATTAAAAAAAAACCAAAAAATTGATACAGTCCCAGTTAATGATAGCAGTTCAGTGTCAGATAAGAGTGTTGTTATATCCTCCTCCAAATCTTCACAATACCTTTTTAATAATCTATTAAATGGAAAAAACAAAACAAGTGCATTTATTGTCTTGTAAACATGAAAATAAACATGAAAAATCCAATATGTACTACCATATAAAGTAAGAGGATGTTGTAGGAGGATCTATAATTGCTCGTCATATAATCCTCTAAGTTGTTTACAACAGGTGGAGTGATTGCAAATCAAAAACTGTCAGTTTTCACTGCAAAAAACATGTAATTCATATTAGGACATTTTGTGCCCCACATGAAAGCCCAACTACATAACTGCTTACTATTTTCACTCTTCATTCTCAAACATGTTTTGCTATGGTTAATAGCCTAAACAAGTTTTCAAGGAAAGAGAACCATGTGTTTAAAATCTTTCTCCTCAGTCAGGAGCTTTCGTAGGTAGTTCTTTCTAGTTAAGAAACACCCAAACACTAGTGAAATCTCACCCTGAAAAAAGCTAGCTATTAAGTGGAGAACGAACACTTCAACAACCACTAAGTATCTCAATTTATTTTATCGATAAATGTTAGTTATTAGTATCTTTGTTAATGAAAGATTAAACCCACAATTTCTCTTTCTCTAAGTATCAAATTCATATACGGTTTACATTGTACTACAAGTAAAGGTTAATATCTTAGACAACAAGATTAACATTGCACTGTGCATCTCCATGAGAAGCAAATTACCAACACTACGTTCAATGAGCAATTGGAAAATACCTATTCTTCCTTAAGATTTTGAAGCATCAAAGACAAGCAAGAAATCCTAAAAAGCCAAACAAGCATACATACATACATACAGCGCCCAAGTTCTTCTAAGAAGCCTCAATGAGACACACTACAAACAATGAGAGCTGTGAATTCAACTTGAGTTGACCCAAAAGATAAAAGAACGAACCTTGCGAAGCTAAAGAAGCAGAGGGCTCATGGGCAGCTTTGACAGTGAAGGAAACGGCATCTCTTCGAGGAGAACGAGAAGTGGGAAGCTTCTGTAACAGACCCACATTTGGGAAGATTGAAAGGAATTAAATTTAGCAAGTCAAAGCATGAGAGCGTGTGTGTGTGTGTGATTTTGTATTACCTGCGGAAAAGAGTTGTGAAGAAGGGTTCGATGAATTGTTGGGGAATTCTGCAGGGACGTCATTGTTGTTGTGTGAGAAACTGCAGAGAAAATGAAACAAGAACAAGTGACTTGTGTTTGTTGTTGTGTTCTATGTGGTGGAAAACTCCCTTTTTCGGACTTTCACTTATCCATAAAATCTTCTCCCTCCTTACTATTTGCCCTTAGTCACATCTTCCATATATTGTGATACTTTTAAAATTGAGTTATATTACGATTAATTTTTTGTAAAAAAATCATTTTCCACTCTATGGTGGATTAAAAAAGATTGTGCATAGACATAAAAAAATAAAAAATTCTACAAATACATGCGAAATAAAATCTGTTATAATAGATAATTGATATTTACGAATATTTATTATTTATCGGTTGTGAGCGTGGGTGGTAGTATTTTAATAAATGAATAATATATTATGGTATTCGTTACTTCTAAAAGATAAAATAAAAAATAATTTATATTTTATTAAATTAAATTTAAAATTAATTTACATTTTATCATATTAAATTTAATTAAAAATAAATTTGTATTTATATTTAATTTATTTTATTCAAATTTTATTTTAAAAATTTGAAAAATATATATTTTTAAAATATTTACGGGTATTCACCGGTATTCAAAGTTTTGAAATATCTAAGATATTTTTTAAATAGATATTCATGAAGTAATAATTGATATTTTTTTTTAAATCAAGTAACGGATTACACTATTTGGGTTACACTATTCGTGTCTAACCTGGTCTGTTGCGATCTCTATTTATGCATGTAAATTTTAATATATTTTTATTGAGGTTCATTATTTTTTAATTACATGGAGATACTTCTATGTGTTGTTTAAATTTTAAAGCGGAAAAAATAGTTAGGTTTATGATTTTAGTTGATGAATATTTACATAAATTTTCTAGTTCTTATTTTTCTAATTTGTAAAATATCACAACTTTTATATATATATATATATATATATATATATATATTAAAATAATTTTTTAAATTTATACATCAAATCACTCCATCATAAATTTATATTTTTCAAAAATGTTAAAATTTAAATGTAAAATGATACTTGTAATTTTTAGATTTTAATATTTGAAATAAATTTATAAATTCAATGTGATAAATACATTTACATCTTTTAACCTAATTTTTAATTTTTAATTTGAAAATGAGTTTTATGGAAAAGTTAAGATTAAAAGAGTGGTGAATTGGGTTGAAGGGCCCTCTTCACTTTTTCTTACTAATTATTAGGGCAATTCATGGACGAGCCACTCACAAATAATTAGTTTTACATTTCACACTTCCACTAATTTTTTTTATTATTAAAAAAAAACTTTATATAGTGCCCATGTCTATCATCATTTCCCAAACAAAAGCAAGCACTATGGAAAATATAGTCCAATAAATTCATTTAAACCACTGAAGACAACAAGGTTATATCAATAACTCATTTGAATAGTTTTTTTTAGATTGTTGATGTTTTACGTGAAAGTATCTAGTTTGTTCTATAATGTAAGATTGTTTAAGATTCAAAATTTATTTTTTATGAAAATATTATAATGGAATGTGTCTTATGGTGATGCTCAAAGATAATTCAAAAGAAAAAGTGTAGATAATTTGACCATGCATACCATTATTGGGTCAATTGTTACATTTTAAATTAAAAGTTAGATACAACAATTTGACTATACGTATATTGGAATCATAAATTCCTAAATAAAAAAACGAAGCTTCCAAATGTCATAGAAGAAGGTCAACCAATCACTGTAAATATACGTGTGGTGAAACAAATCATTGTTGGTCTTTAGTTTTTTGAATGTGAATTGAAAAAAGCTTAATGTTCTTGCTCTTAATAAAAGTAATATCAGGGTCAATTTTTAAAAAGCATTGAATTTAGATTAATGTCCAAATTAGGAGATTGACGTGATTTTTTTTTCGGGTAAGGATATATAGATAGTGACTATATATATATGATATATATATATATATATATATATATATATATATATAAAAGTTGTGATATTTTACAAATTAGAAAAATAAGAACTAGAAAATTTATGTAAATATTCATCAACTAAAATCATAAACCTAACTATTTTTTCCGCTTTAAAATTTAAACAACACATAGAAGTATCTCCATGTAATTAAAAAATAATGAACCTCAATAAAAATATATTAAAATTTACATGCATAAATAGAGATCGCAACAGACCAGGTTAGACACGAATAGTGTAACCCAAATAGTGTAATCCGTTACTTGATTTAAAAAAAAATATCAATTATTACTTCATGAATATCTATTTAAAAAATATCTTAGATATTTCAAAACTTTGAATACCGGTGAATACCCGTAAATATTTTAAAAATATATATTTTTCAAATTTTTAAAATAAAATTTGAATAAAATAAATTAAATATAAATACAAATTTATTTTTAATTAAATTTAATATGATAAAATGTAAATTAATTTTAAATTTAATTTAATAAAATATAAATTATTTTTTATTTTATCTTTTAGAAGTAACGAATACCATAATATATTATTCATTTATTAAAATACTACCACCCACGCTCACAACCGATAAATAATAAATATTCGTAAATATCAATTATCTATTATAACAGATTTTATTTCGCATGTATTTGTAGAATTTTTTATTTTTTTATGTCTATGCACAATCTTTTTTAATCCACCATAGAGTGGAAAATGATTTTTTTACAAAAAATTAATCGTAATATAACTCAATTTTAAAAGTATCACAATATATGGAAGATGTGACTAAGGGCAAATAGTAAGGAGGGAGAAGATTTTATGGATAAGTGAAAGTCCGAAAAAGGGAGTTTTCCACCACATAGAACACAACAACAAACACAAGTCACTTGTTCTTGTTTCATTTTCTCTGCAGTTTCTCACACAACAACAATGACGTCCCTGCAGAATTCCCCAACAATTCATCGAACCCTTCTTCACAACTCTTTCCGCCAGGTAATACAAAATCACACACACACACACGCTCTCATGCTTTGACTTGCTAAATTTAATTCCTTTCAATCTTCCCAAATGTGGGTCTGTTACAGAAGCTTCCCACTTCTCGTCTCCTCGAAGAGATGCCGTTTCCTTCACTGTCAAAGCTGCCCATGAGCCCTCTGCTTCTTTAGCTTCGCAAGGTTCGTTCTTTTTTCTTTTGGGTCTGCTCATGTTGGAATTCACAGCTCTCATTGTTGTAAGTGTGTCTCATTGAGGCTTCTTAGAAGAACTTGGGCGCCTGTATGTATGTATGTATGCGTGTTTGGCTTTTTAGGATTTCTTGCTTGTCTTTGATGCTTCAAAATCTTAAGGAAGAATAGGTATTTTCCAATTGCTCATTGAACGTAGTGTTGGTAATTTGCTTCTCATGGAGATGCACAGTGCAATGTTAATCTTGTTGTCTAAGATATTAACCTTTACTTGTAGTACAATGTAAACCGTATATGAATTTGATACTTAGAGAAAGAGAAATTGTGGGTTTAATCTTTCATTAACAAAGATACTAATAACTAACATTTATCGATAAAATAAATTGAGATACTTAGTGGTTGTTGAAGTGTTCGTTCTCCACTTAATAGCTAGCTTTTTTCAGGGTGAGATTTCACTAGTGTTTGGGTGTTTCTTAACTAGAAAGAACTACCTACGAAAGCTCCTGACTGAGGAGAAAGATTTTAAACACATGGTTCTCTTTCTTGAAAACTTGTTTAGGCTATTAACCATAGCAAAACATGTTTGAGAATGAAGAGTGAAAATAGTAAGCAGTTATGTAGTGGGCTTTCATGTGGGGCACAAAATGTCCTAATATGAATTACATGTTTTTTGCAGTGAAAACTGACAGTTTTTGATTTGCAATCACTCCACCTGTTGTAAACAACTTAGAGGATTATATGACGAGCAATTATAGATCCTCCTACAACATCCTCTTACTTTATATGGTAGTACATATTGGATTTTTCATGTTTATTTTCATGTTTACAAGACAATAAATGCACTTGTTTTGTTTTTTCCATTTAATAGATTATTTAAAGGTATGTGAAGATTGGGACGGAGGATTTTATAAAACACTCTTATCTGACACTGAAACTGCATCATTAACTGGACGTATCAATTTTTTTTTTAATCCATTGTCTTACCTTGGCAGATAGACAAAGAAGGCGCCAAGTGATTGCCATTGGAACAACTGCCCCATTACTTTTTCTGATCAACCAACACTCAAACGCTTGTAAGATTGCATTTTAAGCAGTTAAGTTTTCCATGTTACTGAATTGTGCCTGATCAGGAAGATACAAATGCTGTTTATGACGCTTGTGACTTTCCTATATATTGAGGCCTGACACCCTGAGGATATGCTCTTGATATGGCTCAGTTGCTGCAGAAAACAAGAAAGGATTTTTGTCTGTTTTGGACAAGAAAGATGGATATTCATTTCTCTACCCTTTTGGGTGGCAGGTGAGCATTGTTGTAATACTGTCTGCACTCTGCATCAGTGTGACTTTACATCTATATCAAAGTGGGGAGTGGGGCGTGGTTGTGTGGGGGGTGTAGATGGGGGGGGAGGGGGGGGGGGGGGTGGGGGTGGAGGTGTGGAGGGTGTGGGGAGGATTTATTTGTGTTGGGTGGTGGGGGGGTTGGTGGGGAGGGAGGGTGGGGGGGGGGGGTGTTGGGGGTGGGGCGTTCGGGGGGGGGGGGGGGGGTGGGGGGGGTTGGGGGGGTGGTGAGTGGGGGGGGGGGTGGGGGGTGGGTGTGGTGGGTAGGGGGTGTGGGGGTGGGGAGGGTGGGGCGTGGTGTGTGGGGGGGGGGTGGGAGGGGGGGGGGGTGGTATGGGGGGGGGGGGGGTGGGGGTGGGGGGGGCGGGGTGGTGTGGTGGGGGTGTGTGGGGGGGCGGGGTGGGTGCGTGGGGTAGTGCGGGGGGTGGGTGGGGTTGGTGGGGCGTGGGGGTGGTGGAGGGGGGGGGGGTGGGTGTGTTTGTTGGGGGGGGGGAGGTGGGTGTGGGGGGGGGGGTGGGTGGATGGGGCTGGGGGAGGGGGGGGTGGGGTGGGGGGGTGGGGGGGGGGGTATGTTGTTGGGTGGGTGGTGGGGGGTGTGGGGGGTGGGGGGGGGGGGGTTGGGTTGGTTGGTGGGGGGGGGTTGGGGGGG